GGGCAACTATTGATGCCACAAACATTTATTTTGAATTTGGAATAATTCTGCAATTGGGAAAATATAGAAACTTTAGCAATCAAGAACCTTAAAAAAAGGATGTAATGATGATAAATTCAAAATAAAAAATAGAAGGGCAAGAATGGAAACAAAATAGTTTTTTGAAAATGATAGCTAACTAATTGGATACTTTTTTATTTTCTAATTTTGCATAAAAGGAAGAAATATAAGAACTCTTCTTCTTACCTCTAAGGATAAAAAATAATAATTGATAACTTCTGCAAGTGTGTAAATTTTACTAGAAATTCTTTATATATAATTATCGATTTGAGATCATGAAATATATTGTTGGATGACATTAATATCTTATGTATAGCGAGATTTATGCGATATGAGTCGATAATGACACAAATCGGAGTTAGAATTAAGCAAGTTATCCCACAAGATTCACATCAAATATATGTACAAAATAATTTGATGGCCAACTATTAATTTATGACTATTTAAAACACATATTGAATAACGTTAACATCCTATCTATATCAAAAACTTATATGATGAGTCAAGAATGACATAGATCAAGTATTTTTATTTTATACATATACATAGATTATAATTCAAATTATATTAATATACAAGTATTTTTATTTTATAATTACAATAATAATAATAATAAATATAAAAAAAATATGTGTAAAGGTACAACCCCAAAATTACAGAAAACGACCCCACAGAAGGAGACAGCATCACACAAAAGAATTCACGGACTGGCCATTGGGAATTGCAAAAAAAAAATTTACTCTTTTTTCTTTTCAGTTTACGATTATTGTCCACTTTATATTTTACACATTCCTTTAAAAATAAGAATTAATATGAATATTTTATCATACATGTGTCATAATCTTATCCACCGATCCGACATTTATTAAATATTGGATCAACGGATAAGATTATGTCCCGTCGTCCAAAAACTATAGCATATATACCCTTTATACTAACGAACATACATGTGTCATAATCTTATCCACCGATCCGACATTTAGTAAATATTGGATCAACGGATAAGATTATGTCACATGTCCCTATTTAGTCTTCCGTTAGAGTGAAGGACATATATTCTCTAATTTTTTGATGGCAAGGGCACCAATATCACAAATGTATGACGAAAGGTATATGCATATCATTTACGATAGTTTGGGGATTTGTCCTTTTTTCCTAATATTTTTATTAATTGGCATACAATATCAAGTCTTGAAAAATAATTTCAGGATTAAGTAGTTAACGTTGAAGGAGTAATGGACAAGTAAAAGAAAACGGAGCGGATATATTTTTATTTCTTAAATGCGGATCCCAAATTGTCAAAGTGGGACCCATTGTTTTAATTATGGAGTAATCATTTTGTTCCTGATGTTGATCAGAAGAAAGGAAAAAGTTTAAAAAGGTCCCAAACTTTTTTTTTCTTCCATTTAAAAAGTTTCAACTCTCCAATATGTTTGAAACTTTTCAACTCTTTATTTTTATAATATTCATTTTATAATAATACTGTTAGTTTGTAAATCTAAGATGAAAATATTTTAAAAGTAATTTTGTTCACACGTTTGATCATAGTTAATCATAATCTCAAAATAATTTACCCTTTTTGCTCACTTTTAGTCCACTTTGTCAAATATTGTAAATTAATTACACAAGTACTTTAAAACTCTTATCTCAACAAGTATTTTTTATTTGAAACCATAGATTATTTTATTTTATTGCATTAAAAGTAATTAATTAATTTTTTATAATATAAAGCTCATTTAATTTGGAAAGTATTATAGAAAGCTATTAAAATATTTAACTTTGTCTAAGAATCCTAACAAGTCACTAATAACTTTTTTGTAGTAACAAAAAAATTAAATTTAAACTTTACATCTGTATCATATAATACGTTTCTTTGATTTCTTCTATTAACTTTTGTGATACTTAGACAAAATTTTATGATTTTTTTGTTATATAAAATAATTTAGTATTTTTTGTGGTATTTTTATTTTAAAAAGTGAAACTTTGGTACGATAAATTAAAAGTTTAGTAGCGATTTAATAAATCAACTTGTATTTTCCTCCATTCTCTTTCCCCATGCAAATTCAATTTATTAAACTTTAATATTTGGAGTTTATAGGTACATTTTGGATTAATTGATTTGAATGGTAATTAATTTCTATAATGTTTGATCTTTACTGAAAATGAAAAATAATCTATTTGTTTCATAGGATGGAGGAAGCAAATATATTTTGTCTCAATTTATCTATCGTGTTTTCCTTTCATATATCATTAAAAAACATTAATTATGAAGTATTTTTTGACTATTTTATTTTTATTTATATTGTAAGATATAATACTATTTCATTAAATATTTACTGTATTAATGTATCATAATTAATATATTTGTAATTTCAAAAAAAAAATTATTAATAAAGATAAATTAATAAATTATTTGAAATAATTATTTATAAAAATCACGACAAATGATTTTTATTCGAGAGAGGACGTACATTATCACATTTACATTTTAGGCAAACATGATTTTTGCATTTTCGAAATGAAATTGTACCAACCAATAATAGATGTCTAAAGTAAAAGAGCCATTCCATTATTATCTACACGACGAATTGAATATCCAAATTGTAAATAAATTTTATTTAAATATTTGAGTTACGACTTGTTTCAATATCAGATCGTATGACAACATCATTTTATTAGATATTTTTAGTTTAAAATTTGAAAAAACTTTTCAAAGTGATCTCAAGCATTCATGAATATTTAAAATAACCATACAAAATATGTCATTTTTCTTTAATTATATGTATTAACCTTAGTTAGAACAAGTCTGAGGTCATTTTGTGGTTTACTAAGACCAACACGTATAATTAAATGAATTAACTTAACTATGTAGTGAGCACTTGAGAACTTTGAGTATGCTGCTCATTTCACACCTAATAACATCAATAAAAATGTAGAGGGGATGATAATACTTCCTCCTTCCTAAAATACTTGTTAATTTTTATTTTTCGAGAGTTGAAAGTGTACAAATTTTGATAAATATTTTAAGATTATGAAATAAATTGCAACTTATAGAGTTGCAATACTTTTTATATAATGTTTAAATATCTTAAATTAATCTAATATAATTTTACTCTGAAAATTAGTCAAGTTGACTATCGAAAAAGTAAAAATATAACAACTATTACGAAATGGAAAAAGTATATTCTCAAAGAGTTGACGTCATATATCATCTACAAATAGAATCCATGATGAAAACAATTGTATTTTTTTGGCTTATGTAATGTTTTCAAAGTTTATGCCAAAAGGTTATCTAGCTATTCCAATATAATCATGGTACTTTACCAATTTCATCATTATTCCTACAATTTAATTTGACAAAAGGATGACTATTTAGTTTATTTATTAAGATCTTTTGTTTATATATATATATAAATATCCATTTCCCCCCACCCCACAAAAAATAAATAAAGCAATAATGATTAAAAGTTGACCAAAGTATGACCATGCATGGAAAATCAATTATTGGAGATAAATTGAAATATCTTTATATTATAATCCATTATGCCCTTTTAATAACAATACCTAAGAGCTAAGATCATTGTTAGCGTGGACCGAAACTTATATTTTTAAAAAAATGAAATGTTCTTTTTTAAGCGCGCGGCACAATTTTTTGACGAAGAGAATTCAATTAAATCTTTCTTTCTGTGATCAACCTAACTCCATTATCTTATTAAATTCATAACTTATTATACGTATATATTTAATAAACATCTCAACACGTATCAAAAAACTTGCACTAAAGTTATGGAATTTGTGCTACACTATATATATTTTTCTCTAAACAAGAAAAAACAAACTGAGTGGCACTGGGACAATTTTGGTGGCTGTAATATTTCGTAGTAATATCTCATAGTCACAAACAAGCAGATTGACGTACTAAATTTTTGTTACGTAATTCAAAAAAGTATAGAGAATTATTTATGAAACATTACATTATGTTTTTATAATAAACTATTTTCACAATTTTAACTCGTAATTTCTTGATCACATAACAATTACTTAATCAATTATCGATTAGCTTCTCTTTAAATTATCATATGCAGTCTTGATAAGTGGAATTTTGCTCGAAAAAATACAAAATGACACAGAGCTCTGCACATTCTGGTTACAAGCAGCATACAGCCAATACTACTACGTACCAAAAATACATCTAATTAATTAAAAAAAAAGCTTAATCTCTTTATTTTTTTTCAAATAAAAAAGAAGAAGAAGAAAATTAACCTAAAAACTCACATTAAAATAGCCAACAAGTGTAATATATTTATATAGAATCAGTATATACAATAATAAACATATTCAGTAAAATCTTATAAATGAAATACGAGGAAGATAAAATGTACATATATTTTACCACACCCCGTAGAGATAGATAGATTATTTTCGAGAAATTCTCGATGCAAGTGCAATAAATTCAAGTACAAAGAAGAAGAAGACAATGTAGAAAATATACAACTACACGATGAATAACAAAATAGATAATTGATATATAGTAAACAACGGATGATGCAAGATATTAAAAGTAATAACTACAATAATATAACTAATACAAAGTAAAGCGATACGAAACATATACGCAACATACAATCACCTAACACGTGAATATATACTCAATGTATAATTTGTATATATCAAATAAAAAAATAAATCTGTCCGATTATTTATGTCAAGATCCCGACTAAATACTTTATGATAGAGAGATCACAACAAAAAAGGTGAGCCCAGCAGCTAAATCTATGGCTGACCGACTTTGAAATATATTAATAAACAACATAAAAGTGAAATGACATTAAACAAGAAAAAAAAAAAAAAACTTAAAAGAGAGAGAAATAGTGTACTGTATCACTGTGTGTGTGTGTTTTTAATTATTATTATTTTTTTGTTAGAAAAAGAAAGGAAATATTCTCTTTTTACTTTTATAGTCTCTTTTTGGTGTTTTCTTTTGAAATTATACAGACCCTTTTCTTCTCTTATCTCCCTCTTTAAAGATCTTAAAACTTTGAGCAAAGCCAAGAAAAAAAAAAAAAGTCTTTATAAGTTCTTGTTTTTTACTTAGTGTTTTTCAAGATTCAAACTTGTGTCTTTTATTGTGTTTTTGTTCTTTTGGAACAATCTGAAAAAGAAAAAAAAAAAAACTTGTGAGATTAAGTTCTTTTATCTGTTTGTATTTGAAAAAATTTAAAGCTTTTTTTGTGAGTTAGCTTTGTTTTCTAGCTCCAACAAAGCTAAAACAAAAGCCCCATTTTGTTAAAAATGATGTCTGGAGATTTGTTTTCAATTCATCAACAACAACAACAAGTACTAGTTGAACAAAACCCTAACCCTAAAGCTAATTCTTCTTCTAAGAAAAGAAGAAATCTTCCAGGTACACCAGGTAAATTTAGAACTACTATATGTTCATTTAGCTAGCGTTTGGTCATAGATTTTGCGAGTAGTTTTTAAAAATTTACCACCTTGTTCAGTTCAGAACTATGAATTCATTTAGAATTCATGTCTAAACACCACTTCATAAACTCAATTTTTCAAGTTTCAACTTCAAAATCTATTTCCGAATGAGAGCTTAGTACAATAGTACAAAAATATTCACTTTTGCATGTCAAAGATTGAATCTTTATTGTTTCTTTCTTCAAACTACTTTGTATTGTTTTTTCTTTTTGAGTCGAGGGTGTATCGGAAACAATCTTTGTTGTTTGTGTATACTAGTGTTGTAAAGATTGAATCTTTTTAACTTTGTTGTTATGTTTAACAGATCCAGATGCTGAAGTTATTGCAATATCACCCAAAACACTCATGGCTACAAACAGATTCATATGTGAAATCTGCAACAAAGGTTTTCAGAGGGACCAAAACTTGCAACTTCATAGAAGAGGACATAATCTTCCATGGAAGTTAAAGCAAAGGAACAAACAAGAAATAGTTAAGAAGAAAGTTTACATATGTCCAGAAAAGACTTGTGTACATCATGATCCTTCAAGAGCACTTGGTGACCTTACTGGTATAAAGAAGCATTTTAGCAGAAAACATGGTGAGAAAAAATGGAAATGTGAAAAGTGTTCAAAGAAATATGCAGTTCAATCTGATTGGAAAGCTCATACTAAGACTTGTGGTACTAGAGAGTATAAATGTGACTGTGGAACACTCTTTTCCAGGTAATTAATTTTGGTTGTAGTAATAATATTATGTTCTTGTTTTGGGAATATTTGTTTCAAAACTGAATTTAATGCTCATTCATTCATGGAAAGTTCAATTTATTGCTTCCTCCTGACTAGAAACTACCAACCATTAAGCTCTCGTTTGGTCATAAATTTTGAAGCTGTGTAGCTTCAGTCTTTGAAGTTGTGTTTAGACATGCACTAGTCAATTTTTGAGAAATTTGACCAAATTTCAAGCTGACTAGCATCCCTTTCCACTGACTATAGGATCAAATTCGCTCTTCAAGATACCTTCTGCCTGTCTTATATGTGTCTTTTTCGGTTCCAGCCTCTCAAACACTTACTCTCAAAATCTATGACCAAACGCTAGTTAAATTGTTTGATTCAAATTGTGTGTTATTATGCTTTAGTTAATGTTTTCTTTTTCTTGTTCACAGGAAAGATAGTTTCATTACCCATAGAGCTTTCTGTGATGCTTTAGCTGAAGAGAGTGCAAGAATCACTTCAGTTGGAACTACTCCCAACAATTTGAACTTCAACCAGCAACAACAACAACCTGTTGGCATTTCCCAAATTGGGACAAGTTTTGTCCAAGATTTTACAAGTATGACAACTGTGAATCCTCTACATCAGCATCAGCAAAAACCAAGATCATCACTTTGGCTAAATCAAGCTAATAACAACATGTCATCACCAAGTTCAAATCTTTTTGGCTTACCAGATCATCATATGGTCCAAATCCCATCTCCAAATATGTTTGGTACTGGATCATCAATTGGCAACCAAATACTTACCCCCCCCACCACCACCACCAACACCCCTGCAACCCCAAATCCCCCAATACCAATGTCAGCAACAGCCCTTCTACAAAAAGCAGCACAAATGGGGTCAACAAAAAGCACACCAAATTACTTTTCCAACACATTTGGAGTAATGAACTCATCATCTTCTCCTTCATCAAACAACACAACACAAATCTTCAACAACAATGAAATCCATCAAGCTTTTGCAAAACAAACAGAGGATTACAATCAAACAGAGAATATACTCATCAATGGGTGTCCAAATATGAATTCATCTGTTCATTCTAAAGCAATCAATTTGGATCAGGCATTATTACAAACAGGTGGTATGCATAATCAAACTGTTCATTTCAACTTGCATAATAGTCTTACTAGAGATTTTTTAGGCATGGGGAATGAAAGGGGTCAGCCATTTTTGCCACAAGAATTGGCAAAGTTTGCTTCAATGAATGCAGCTATGGGGTTAAGCCATTACAGTACTGGTCACTAGTCCTAGCAAGTTTGTTTTTTTTTTTTTTTTTTTTTTTGTATTACAAAAATACAATAATGTAAAATTTGAACCTTATCTTATTAGCAAGCTGGCATTTTTTTTTACTTTGCATTATTTTGGATATATTTCCTTTTTAAGATAAATTTTTTGAAATGGATTGATTGGCCTTTTATAATTATATATATTTAAATAGAAGGAAATGATTGTGTAAAGATTTTTTTTGAATGTATTATTTTCATATTTCTTATTTAAAAAAATAGAAATAAATTTGCAGTGTATTACATGAAACTAATATCCAAAAATGTTGATTATTCTTTAAATTTTTTTTTTGTATGTATTATAGGAGAAAATAAATCCATTTTTATAGGTTATATGTGTAGAAAAGAAAAGATAATAGAACACTAAATTTTTTATAAATTAGTGATAAATGTCATCTATTGCTAAACTATAAAAAATGATCACTAAGTTATTGAATGATAAATTAATAAGAATTATAAGAAAAAAAGAGTTATTTAACGAAATTTCATAGTTAATTTCTACTATTTTTTAAGGTTAAAGAACAATAATGATGACTGTTTTAAGAATGTATAAAAAATTCAATAGAGATTGAAACTACCTAATTAATGTCCTCTAGTTACTAATTAATTAAATTATTGGATATTTTAGAGAAAATCTCAACTACTCATCATTCGCCGGTAGAATATTATTAACGAAACGATAAAATAATCTTCGTATAATTTACAAATCATAGGTTTAAACTATATAAATAGTCATTGATATGTATTAGAATAGATATTTCTACATCACACGCTTAAAATATAGCTCTTTTCTGAACTTTGCTAATTTACAATATTTTTCATATTGGACTCTCCCTTTTAATTTTTCAACTTAATATAATTCTTAATTAACGTGGGACCTTTATGTCTAGAGTTGGTGACAAAAAAAAAATTAGCCATGCATTTTTTTATTTTTTTTTAACTACGTGTTGGTTACTTAATTTTAACTTTCAAGTCTACGAAGACCCTAAATATTATTTTGTTTTATTTATTTTTCCTATAAACTATATATATAGTACTTTTATTTTATTAGTACTAGCTAGGAAATAATTGTAGCCTTTTAATTTAGAAAAAAAAAGTAGGGCACAAAAAGCAATGAAGCAAGTGTTGTTGACTAGTTGTCAAAATGACCAATATAATGCAGTAGTCAACGATGGTGGTTTTTGCAGAAACTTTATTTTTTTTGATTGTTTTGATTTGATTAGTCTTTTTAGCTGCAGATCACAATTTGTCAGAGGCACTTTTTTGAAAATTAAAAAATTTAATTATTATATTATTATTTTCTTTTAGAAAATTGAAATCTCAAGCATCATTTCATAAATAATAAAGTAAAATTGTGTTTTTCATAAATAAAGAAGAATAACTTCAATTATTGGAGTGATTATATTCTATGATATATAGAAATCTGGCAAAAAGCATAGAGCGTGCATATTAAGTTCTCGCCTTACTTCCATTCGTGAAGTTGAAGCGAGAAATATATAATATTTCAGTGTCATAGGTTATATGTATAACCTTTCTATGTGTCTTCACTGGTGTAATATTTTAATAGCGCGCTATTGTCTTTTGATTTATTCTTATTTTGATATATATTAAATTCTTTGTAGTTTTTATAAGTTAAAGAAATGAAGCTTCAAAATATTTGATCATAAGAATTTAAGATTCATACCTAAAAATCACTAATCGAATAATTATGTAATCCGTATAACTCAAGCGTAAAATCTTTTGATTTAGAAAGGATATAAAAAAAATATGAGAAAAATCACTTGTTGGCAATTTTTTTTGACATATACTATATTTACTTTTCCATGGTCCTTGACTCCTTGTAGTACGTACTACTATGATTATTAATTATCAATTGAGTCACGAGTGAGTCTAACCAAAGAACAAGATAGATAAAAAGAAAGTCTATCAAAAGGTGGTCCAATCTTTCTTTTTTTTAACGACTCGATATTTTATATTTATATCAAGACTCGATTAAATTTAAATTTATAATTGTAAAATTTATTTCTGAGAGCAATACTTCATACATTATTTTTTCCTATTTCCATATGCTCAAAATCATGACCTTTAAATAACGATGGGAGAATCTCAAATATTTTATATATCAAATTTACAATAAACAAATTTTAGAAGACGAAACTTTTTTTTTTCAAAATTTGAGTCATGAATATTAAATTGCTTTTATCAAAACATATTATACCTCAACTTAGGACTTTTCGACACAAATTCAAATTATAACACACTAAAAAGTAAACACTAAAAAGATACCCCTGAGTGGTACCATTGTTATTAGAAGTATAATTTTAGGCCCCTTTTCATGGAACAGTTTTTGTTTTTTCCAAGGGATAACTTTTTCTACTAAGCTTGAGAAGTCTACTTATTTTATAACTTAATTCAATTGAAACTTTATAGTTAATCTAGAAAACATTTTTTATAATGTTCTTTTATAGGAGTTTAAAGGTCAACGGCAAATATTACTTTTATATATATATATATATATATTCTTCCTAGAGCCAAAGTACAAAAAAGGGTACCTTTAATTTTCTTGAAAATGTACGAGAAAATATGACATTTCTCATAGATTGAAGTAGGAATCCAAAGACAATTGCACTATTATTATAATTATTTTTGATTGAACAGTCAAATATGTACGTAAATAAATCTTTAGGAATATAATTGAGCCCCCAAATAAATAGTAAGCCCAAGTTTCCAAGGCTGTGATCGGGAACATGCTTTTGGAGTTTCTACTTAGTAAACTCAGATTAATTAAGATTCATATAAAAAATTCAGGTAAGATAAAATACTTTCTATATATATCAAAAGAAATTATATTCTAAAAGTCTGTATTTGAAACTTCTAATAAGAATACAATCGTACTTTATACTCTACCACAACTTTTGAAGTTTCAATCCTATTCAAGATATGAGATTCTTCTATTTTCATCTTTTCCATTCAAAGTAAACTCATCCAAAATAAATAAATTATAAACAAAGTTCAAATAATCTAAGTAAATACAAGTATAGAAGAATTGAGCAAAATTAGGCTATAAATGTAAACAAAGACATGCCAGTGAAGAAACTGGCTAAATAATAAAGATTAGGTTTATTTAATGAAATGGGCCACTATGACGTTAAATTTTCAAAAAATTATCCAGCCCACTAAAACCAATTTAGACTTGGGCCTACCTCCCATCCATTCCAATCTTATAGACCCAAACTATTTTGGGAAAATTAGCAATTAAGTCATAATACCTAACATAATTAGTTAAAATAACAACACTTTAAAATATTTATTTAAAATGGCAGAATGACAATATTTTTATAAATAATATGTATTCATATTTTAGTATTTAAAATTAATTTTATTTATGGAAAGAGTTCTATATCTATATTGGGCCAAATTATATACCAATAACCGTTTAAAAAGAAAAAGAAAATAAACCAATACCCATTAACCTTCTTCTTCACCCTTCACGTTTCTTCCCCACCTTTCACGTTTCTTCCCCTCCTTCCACGTTTCAAGATTATCTTTCTTCAAGGTGCTCAATTATTGTTCATCAAGAAATTTTCTCTATTGTTAAACGATATCTCTTTATTAATTCAAGCAGATTTCTCGATTGACAAGGTAATTTTCATTATCTATTTTGATTTATTTTGATTTGATGTTTAAATCACCGATTCTATATATTACGAATTTACAGTCAAATTTTCCAATTTTTATGTGATTTTGTTTAGATATTCATCAAATAGTTATGATATTCTACATATTACAGAGTTATTGCTCTATGTATTTGTGGCTACTTGCTGCTAGTGACCCATGGATATTTACATGAGTTGAGAGAGAACTTGAGGCATAAGTTCTTATAATATATATTTCAAACGTAGCTTTGGACTTCCATAATAGTCTATATGGACCTAATATATTAGTTGGGTTGTAACAATTTTTTGGATAAATTGTACATTTCATCAAACATGTTGAGATATAAGAGTGGGAATTACGGCAAGAGAATACAACATGACTCACAAAAAGTTTTACTTTATTCGGGAAAAAAGAGTTTGAATTACAACTTTTGTTATGGAGAATATAGCTGAAAAAAATAGTTTAAATTAAGTAGCTTATTGGGCTGACTGTATTCATTCTATCTATATATAAAAAAGTTTCACATTTTTTTGTTTTTACATTGTATTTCAATCTCAATTAGTATACCAACATGTTTGTATTTCCTTCTTAATTTGTATTCATTCTAACTGTATAATAACAATTTTGTATTTTATTTGGGTATTCATTCTGCATTTCAATCTCAATTTACATGTGAACAAGTTTGTATTTCTCTTTTGTTTTGTATTCAACCTAATTGTATACCAACAAGTTTTGTATTTTATGTGCCTACTTTACCATTCAAAGTCACTTTGTATTTCAAATGAAGAGAGTATTTCTTTTGTATTCACAACTTTATATTCAATCTCACTTTGTATTTTTATCTCACTTTTGTATTCATATATTGTTGTATTCAACATATAGTTCATGATCGATTAGTTTGTATTTTCCCTTTCAAAGTCACTTTGTATTTCAAATGAAGAAAGTAGTTCTTTTGTATTCATAACTTTATATTCAATCTCACTTTGTATTTGTAACTTTGTATTTTCATCTCACTTTGGTATTCATATATTGTTGTATTCAACATATAGTTCATGATCGATTAGTTACATTAACTTAATGGGATACAAATTATTGCATGCATTCAAACAGAAAAAAATAGCTACTAAACTAAAAAATAATAATTTCATTCGTTATACATCATAATTTGGATACAAAATGTCCGAAAAAACTATAAATCCAAATACATACAAAGATTTCACTGATTCAATAAAAAAAATGCTCTTGTACTCGACATATACGAATATACCTGATTATTTTCCGATTGTTCACTGGATGCACAAATTTATAGTCGTCAATTTTGAAAAATTATGTTTCAAAAATATGCCATATTCGACTTGAAGAAGCTTTGGAAGTTATCAGATGAATGATTCGGAAGATAAACTAAATTATTT